TGTGTTAATTGTTATTCCTTTTGGAATGTCACCCTTTCAAGCAAATCCAAACCCTGGGATTATATCAGTTGCAGTAATATCACCAAGAACAGATCATCCTTCAAGAGCACCATATATTGGTCATTGGGCTGTAGGTGTGACTTTTGATGCAGTACAATGGCACAAAATGCAATGGAATGAGCACATTATTCTTGGGTGTGGGGGGTGCATCTACTTTAATGATATACTTACTATCTTGTTGTAAATATCTGGCATCTTAATTCAATAACAATCAGTTTGGGTATATTGCAATATGATCACTTTGCTTAATGATACATCACATCTATATGATTAATAAAAGCTATAAAAATTTACACTGTTGCCCAATTTGGGTGAAATTTTATTATTTATCATGAATTTTTTATTTTTGTTTGATGATATCAAATTTATAGAAGAAAAAATGACTAGGTGTAAATTTCTAGCTCTCAAAGTATATGATATACTGACCTCACTAAATTTAGTTCACCATAAATAACAGATGCCATAATGGAAGTTTGGTTATTTATAGAAACTTTAGACTTACTAGTATTCAATTTTGGATGCATCAAAAACAATAAAGGTATGATCCAATTTTTTTGATGTGAAATGAAACTACCAAGCAGTAGTATCCAAAGTGAAAACAAATTTTTTGATTCAGTAGTATGCAAAAGTAATCAAAATTTTCGATCCAGTAAAACAACAAAGCATGGGTCGAATTTTTAGTAAAGTAATATGCAAAGGTAAGAACAAATTTTTTAATCAGTAATATGTAAAGGTAATACATCAAAGTATGATCCAATTTTTTAACCCAGTAATACACAAAAGTAAGAATAAATTTTTCGATAGTAAAACAAGAAAACATAGGACGAATTTTGACATGAAGTGGTAGTACCCAAAAGTATCAACTATGCAAGAAAGCTTTCTAGAGATCCAAAACATAGCATACTCATGGTATTACCCCAAGGTATAATTAATACAGATATATATTATAAAAATTATGCTTTGTGGTAGTACCAAATAAAGGATAACAATTTGGCACTATGTGCCTCACCCTTGATCAGTAATCAAATGCATCATGCAAAGCCAGATCATGAATACTATTTCGGCACTTTGTGCCTCATCCTTGAATTCAAATGCAACATGCAAGACCAAAATACAGATTGCCAATTTGACACTTTGTGCCTCATCCTCACAATCGAAAAAGTTGGCAGTTCACCTAGGAAA